GTATCATTGCTTGAAAAATTTGAAGCCACTATTGCTTCTTTAGAAAACTCTAAAGATCTGTCAAAAATTAGTTTGGTAGAATTGTTAAGTGCACTCCAGGCACAAGAACAAAGAAAGATGATGAGGCAAGAGGGAACTATTGAAGGAGCTTTGCAAGCCAAGTTGCGGCTGAATTCTGGAGATAGAAGTAAGAAATGGAAAGGAAAAAATGGGAGTGTCAGCAACTCTGAAACTACAGCAGCTGAGAACAACACCAACGCTACAAATAAAAAAGGAAAATATCCTCCTTGTCAGCATTGTGGCAAAAAGAATCATCCATACTACAAATGTTGGAGAAAGTTAGATATGAAATGCAGAAAATGTCAAAAGCTTCGGCATGCAGAGATTATTTGTAAGGAAAAGGAGATGCAGCAGCAGGGAGACGCTCAAGTTGCAGATCAACAAGAAGCAGAACAGCTCTTTGTTGCATCTTGCTTTGCATCCAGCATTCTAAGTGATAGCTGTCTCATTGATAGTGGTTGTACAAACCACATGACAAGTGATGAAAGTCTCTTTAGAGAACTTGATAAATCAGCAACATCAAGGGTAAGAATTGGAAATGGAGAATATATATCAGTAAAACGAAAGGGGACTGTCGCAATCGAAAGTTTCACAGGTACAAAACTTATTTCTGAAGTTCTGTATGTCTCTAAAATTGATCAAAATTTACTCGGTGTTGCAAACTTGCTAGAGGAAGGGTTCAAGCTTTTATTTGAAAATAAAATGTGTCTAATCATTGATTCAAATGATCAAGAATTATTCAAAATTAAGATGTAGGGTAAAAGCTTTTCTTTGAATCCATTAGAGAAGGAGTAAGTGGCATTTCCTAGTCAACACAGTAGTGCAGAAATATAGCACAAAAGGTTAGGACACTTTCATCACGAAGGCTTGTTGTTTATGCAAAGAAAAGAAATGGTAAAAGGAACTTGGAGGAACATGTTTCAAGCTGTAAGGCTTGTCTATTTGGCAAGCAAATTAGACTTCCATTCAAAACATCTACTTGGAGAGCTAGAGAGAAGTTGCAGCTGATCTATACTGATGTTTGTGGACCACAAACAACTCCATCACTAAATGGCAGCAGGTATTATATAGTTTTTATTGATTATCTAACAAGAATGTGTTGGATTAATTTTATGAAGTTCAAGTCAGAAGTTGCTGGAATCTTCCTAAAGTTCAAAAACTGGATTGAAAACCAAAGTGGCTGCAAGATTCAAGTAATCAGATCAGATAATAGAACTGAATATACATCAGAAAAATTCAATTCCTTTTGTGAAGAAGCTGGAATTGAGCACCAATTCACTGTCCTTTACTCTCCACAACAAAATGGGGTTAGTGAAAGGAAGAATAGGGCAATCATGGAGATGACTAGATTTTTGCTGCATGAGAAGAATCTACCAAAGAAATTCTGGGCAGAAGCAGAAAATACTGCTGTTTTTTTGCTGAATAGACTACCTACAAGAGCATTGGAAAGAAAGATTCCATTTGAGGCTTGGCATGGTGTTAAACTTATTTTAAAAAATCTTAAAATATTTGGATGTCTTTGTTTTTCTTATGTTCCACAGGTTAAAAGGGATAAACTTGATGAGAAGGCTGAACTTGGAATATTCATTGATTATAGTTTGGTTTCGAAAGCCTACAAAATTTTTCAACCTTAGTCCGTGATGATTGTGATAAGCAGAGATGTTCAATTCCTTGAACGTGAGCAATGAGACTGGAATGAGGAATCTCAAATCAAACATCATATCTTGCAATTGGATCCAGATGAGTTAGAGGACGAACAATCTGTAAGGAGAACAAGATAACTTTCAGATATTTATAAAAAATGTAATGTTGCTGTTTTTGAGCATGCAGGATATGATAAAGCAAAAACAGATCAAAAATGGATAGATGCAACGAAGGAGGAGTTGGCAATAATTTAAAAGAACTAGACTTGAAAGCTAGTGGAGAGGCCCCAAGATAGAAAGGTAATTGGGGTTAAATGGGTATTTAGGACAAAACTAAATCCTGATGGTTCAATAAACAAACACAAAGCAAGACTGGTTGTAAAAGGTTATGCACAAGTTTGGGGTGTAGATTTTTCTGAAACTTTTGCGCCAGTAGCCAAATTGGATAGCATTAGAATGTTTTTGGCTTTAACAACACAAAAGGGATGGAAGACCTTTCAAATGGATGTGAAGGGTTCCTTCTTGAATGGTATACTCCAAAAAAAAATTTATGTTGAGCAGCCACAAGGTTTCAGTTTACTAAAAAATGAAGAAAAAGTCTATTTATTGAAGAAAGCTCTCCACAGATTGAAACAGGCTCCTAGAGCTTGGTACAACAAGATAGATGAACATTTGCTCAACTTTGGCTTTGAAAAGAGTTTAAGTGAATCAACTCTTTATGTCAAGAGAGTTGGCTGTAACATAGTTATCATTTCTCTTTATGTAGATAATTTACTTGTTACTGGAAATAATGTTGTACAAGTTGAAGAATTCAAGGAGATGATGAAGGTCTTTGAGATGATAGACCTTAGAGAGATGACATATTTTTTGGGTATGGAGATTAAACAAATGCAAAATGAAGTCTTCATTTGCCACAAGAAATATCTGAAGGAGATTCTAAAAAGGTTTAAAATGAAAGAATGCAAGAGTGTGAAGACTCCTATGAATAAAAAGGAGAAGCTGCATAAAGAAGATGAATCTTAACTTGTTGATGAAGGAATATACAAAAGCTTAATTGGATGTTTAATGTATCTCACAGCAACAAGGCCAGATATCTTATTTTCTGTGAGCATTTTATTTAGATTTTTGAATTCTGCTAGAGAGTTGCATATGATGGCTATTAAAAGAATGCTTAATTGAAGTTTGGATATGAGATCCAAACTTGTTTTGTACTTTATTAATGAGGGGAAGGATTCACTAATTTTCTTTTTGAGCCAACAAGTTTGTTGGATATCTAATAACAACGCTTGTTTTATACTTTAATAATTTTTTTTTGTTTTCTATGTTTAAATAATTTGTTCCATTTCTAATTCTTTTTCCATGAAAAATTTTGTACAATTGGAGTATGTTATTATTAATTAAAAACTTAACAAAAATTGTAGTGTTAGTTAAATATTGTTAGTAAAAAGTTAGAATGACCCAAAATAAATCACTTTGTCAAGTAAAAATAAGATTAAAAAAAAGCTGATGATGAAAACTATAAAATAAAATGAATAGAAGATGGCTCCATGTGCTGCATACTGATGGAGTCTGTGTTAAGAATGGATCCCAATGGGTTTTTCTATTTTTTTTTTTTTGACTTTGACCATGTGGACAGCCATTGCCAAATTAATGTCAACTACAAAAATGTGACAAGTATAAATAAAAGCAACGAAGGAGACGCCAAAGCTATAAAAATAAAACGAATAGGAAATGTGAAAACTATAAATAAACAACTGCCCAATCATTTTTTCAAGTAAATTTGTCCGGTCATTTGTGCACACCTCTGAACCCAGAATTTTATCATGCAAGAAACACAGATGGGTTGGCTACTCTAATATATATTGGTCTTGGGGTTTGGGTATGCAGCATGTTTCCGATCTGATTCCATTAAATTACCTTCACATCACCATTGTGAGGTCAGGCCTGTACTGGTGAAATAGGCTATACTAGCAGATCAAGTAGTTGTCTTCCGTCAAGGTATGTTCTTGCACTCTTTGGATTTGTTTGTTTCCTCGGAAAATAAGCTTGACTTTCCTTCTCCTCAGGCTAATCCGGGTGCCCCAAGGATCTTTCCTTGGTTACCATTTGAAGTTTTCTTCGTTGCTTCCGTGTTTTTTACCTGCACCACTCTAGTTCTTGTTCACCGTGCTCCGTTTTTCATTTATCAATTCTGATTTTAGTAAAGTTTCCATTTGTTTGGATTGTGAGATTGGCTTTGGATGTGATCTTTTTCAATTATCTCCATGACATAATTTTGGGTTTATCTGTAAATTTGTTTTATGGCTAAAATCTAATTTAATCAATCTTGAATATCATTTTTAATCATGTTTAGGCGGATATTTATGTCGAATACGAAGTGGAGTGAGAGCTACAATCAGCACAGTATATTTTACGTTGAAAAAGAAAATTATATAGCTTTGGTATATCTACCTTATTGCTCTATTTCTAGTTCTGATATGAGTTTGAGATACAGTTTTAAGATAATAATACGTCACCAAAGGCATATACTCACAAACACACATAAACATACAAAAAAGTCTTGGATACACATTATTGTGTGCTATGGGTTATAGGCTAACATAAACTATTATAGACACTTACAGTTGGCAAAAAATCAGTATTTTACGAGTTAATGCGTAGTAATTTTCTTTTATAGTTTTCTTTTATCTTTATTGCTCAGATTCCAGTTTAGTGTTATTTTAAATTATGTATTATCAAATTAACAAATTTGTGGGGAGAAGCTGTAAAAATAATTTGTTATTGTAAAAAGGGATGGAACACTTGTGCCATGGTAGTCCATTGATGCTAACGGAGATGGCTATTGAAGATGAAGTCTTGTGTCAAGGATGTGGGAAGACCATTTCAGGTCAGAGCTACGGTTGCAGTGAGCATAAGTTTTATCTGCATAAATCCTGTGCTGAGCTTCCCTTAAAGATTAAGAGCATCTTCCACTTAAAGTCGCCTTACTCTGCATAAGGATTACACTAAGGATAGTGAAAAAAGTTGTATATGTTATTGTTGTAAGAAACATATACCAGGTTTCAGATACAGTTGTGACAATTGT